ATCATTTCCTCTCTATCCAAAAGTTCTGAAATCCTCTTCACAAGATGTTTCTCTTCTGTCGAGGGCCCTTGCCATACAGAGTTTGCTCTCAAGTTCTCTAATCTGGTCCTCAGTGTTTTAAGTTGTCTCTTTACCAAACCAAACTCCTCTATATTCCACTTATGGAGTCCTTTTTTAACAGCGACCAATGCCTCTGTAACTTGCTGCAGGTGTCCATTCGAAGGGACCCATAAATTCTCAACTGTCTGAGAATATGTCTCATGTCTAGTCCAAGCATTTTCAAACTTAAAAGGCCTGTTCGTTACTCTGTCAGATGCCCAATCTGATTTAGAAATACCTATCACGAGCGCACAGTGATCAGACTCTATTGTTTGCACATGAGTTACTGAGGTATTATCGAACAGCTCCATAAACCGATCATCTCCGAGGCCACGGTCCAATCTAACTTTAATGTTTCTATCACCTTGCTGCCGGTTATCCCAAGTATAGGGCAACCCCGTAAAGCCCAAATCAATGAACCGGCAGCTATTGACCACATCCCTGAATCCCTCCATCTTCCACTCCTCTCTTTGTGCACCACCAAATTGTTCTGAATCTTCCAGTATCTCATTAAAATCCCCCGCACAAAGCCACGGGTTATCATACTCTCTCCTCAGATAATTAAGCAGTTCCCAACTTTTCTTCCTCCTGGATCTCACTGGTTCACCATAAAACCCTGTAAATCTCCACTCCCTCTCTCCTGTGTTTTCATTCCGGATCAAAACATCAATATGAGATCTGCTGTAAGATCTCAGGCTGACTACTGAATCACCATTCAAGAACAGGACAAGTCCTCCACTGAGTCCCTCAGATTGAACACCGAACGCGTGTCTGAAACCCAGTCTAAACCTCAAGTCTTGCGCTCTCGTAGCAGACAGTTTGGTCTCCAAGAGAAAAACCAAACTCAGACGATGCAACTGGATAATGTTGCATATTTCTTGAACTGTCTCGGGCCGTCCGCATCCCCGACAGTTCAGAGCCAGGGCATTCATTGCTCCCGGCGGTCACCCTCTAGGGGTGCCGCCGATCCCGCTGCAACTTCCTTGCTGGTTCCACTTCCCACTACTTCTCCATCAACCCCTTTCAACTTCTTTTTGTGCGCATTCTTCTGTGGTGTAGCTACAGGTTCCTTCTCAATCCCCCCAAACAGTTCAACAATGTTAGCTACTTTTGCTGAGGTATCTGTTAACACCAAAGCCTTCTCCAAATTCGCACCTCCTCCTTCTGTAGACACAGAGTCCATGGCCAACCTCTTTCTAATCCCACTCTCTTTCTCCTTAATAATAATGCCTCTCATGGGTTCTGAATCTGTTGTACGTCCATCGAGTGGAATTTTAGAGTTAAGTGAATCTGGATTACTCCTTACCGCATTCCACCGCCAACTGTTACTTGGGTCATATTCTGTTTGTGTTCCTCCTTGAGTTCTACTTTCATTATTTGGGGCCTCTCCTCTACCTTGTCCAAAGCCTCTCCCAAAAGATCCTCCAGAGCTTCCTCTACCAGCTCCTCTTCCAAACCCACGCCCTCCATCTCGTTTCTTCCACTCCTCTGCAAGGATAAAATCACCCCACTCAAATTTTGTGGTATCATGTTCCCCTGTACTACATTCCTCGAACCAATGTCCAAGCAGGCCACACTGGTTACAAAACATTGGTAACTTCTCATAGTTAATCTGGTACCAGTCCTTCTTGCCACTCTTCGTAATCGAGACAAATCACTCTAGTTTCCTGTTCACATCCAGATTAACTTTTACTCTGACGAAAGCCCCAACATACCCCGTTGGCAACTGTATCTGGGTTTCTAGGATCTCTCCCATCTTTCTGCACATACCCTTAATCACCGCCTCATGCAAGTAATTGTTCGGTAACTTGAGAATTCTCGCCCAAACTGTTACTTTGTCCAGTACCATCTCTTTGGGATTTGTGAATTTGACCCGCTTTCAATTGAATCGGCAGAAATTTGTCTTTTTCACGAGAGGTGGATCAAAACTTTTTACACCCAAATTTTTTGTCAATTGTGTATTAAATATGTCCTAGTATTTTATAAAATTGATTTGGTCCAATTTTGCAACAATTATTTGGGAGGTCCTTCACAAAAAACCTCCTTTTTGGCACTTGAAAAATTGAAAATGGTTTTTTCGTCCAAAGAAAATGAAAACTTCCTTAGGAAATATTGTTTGCCATTCCAATATGCACCCTTGTGCACAATAGGAGATCATTTGAACAAACTATGCCATGAATGTGGCCATAGGATTGATCATTTGGCTTGAAAGCCATGAATCTTCACGCATGATAGCTCATTTCTGATAACACTTTTTTAAAAGAATTGCCGTATTACAAGTTTATTATTTTTCCTGGTAACTTGGTCATATGTAATGACACAATGTGAAGGTTTTCCAATTTTTTTATTTTTTTTGAATTTTTTATGCCCGTTTCAAAATGCGGTCAAAACGGCAGGAATGACCGTTCCTAGCTAGTGATTGAATCTTGGAATTTTTTTGGTGTTTCTCTGATTAAATAGATACTTATGTACCTAGAAATGATTTTTGGAAAAAATAAAGAGCAAACTACAAGGCAGCTACAGTTCAAATTTGACCCACTTCCAACTAAATCGGTGGAAGTTTGTCTTTTTCACAAGAGGTGGATCAAAACTTTTTACACCCAACCATTTGGTCAACTGTGCATTAAATATGGCCTAGTATTTTATAAAAATGATTTGGTCCAATTTTTCAACAATTATTTGGGAGGTCCTTCACAAAAAACCCTCCTTTTGGGCACTCGAAAAATGGAAAATGGTTTTTTCGTCCAAAGAAAATGAAAACTTCCTTAGGAAACATTGTTTGCCATTCCAATATGCACCCTTGTGCACAATATGAGATCATTTGAACAAACAATGCCATGAATGTGGGCATAGGATTGATCATTTGGCTTGAAAGCCATGAATCTTCACGCATGATAGCTCATTTCTGTTAACACTTTTTTAAAAGAATTGCCGTATTACAAGTTTTTTATGCCCGTTTCAAAATGCGGTCAAAATGGCGGGAATGACCGTTCCTAGCTAGTGGTTGAATCTTGGAATTTTTTTTGGTGTTTCTTTGATTAAATAGATACTTATGTACCTAGAAATGATTTTTGGAAAAAATAAAGAGCAAACTACAAGGCAACTACAGTTCAAATTTGACCCACTTCCAGCTGAATCGGCGGAAGTTTGTCTTTTTCACGAGAGGTGGATCAAAAATTTTACACCCAACCATTTGGTCAATTGTGCATTAAATATGGCCTAGTATTTTATAAAAATGATTTGGTCCAATTTTGCAACAATTATTTGGGAGGTCCTTCACAAAAAACCCTCCTTTTGGGCACTCGAAAAATGGAAAATGGTTTTTTCGTCCAAAGAAAATGAAAACTTCCTTAGGCAACATTGTTTGCCATTCCAATATGCACCCTTGTGCACAATATGAGATCATTTGAACAAACTATTCCATCAATGTGGGCATAGGATTGATCATTTGGCTTGAAAGCCATGAATCTTCACGCATGATAGCTCATTTCTGATAACACTTTTTTAAAAGAATTGCCGTATTACAAGTTTATTATTTTTCCTGGTAAATTGGTCATATGTAATGACACAATGCGAAGGTTTTCCAATTTTTTGATTTTTTTTGAATTTTTTATGCCCGTTTCAAAATGCGGTCAAAACGGCGGGAATGACCGTTCCTAGCTAGTGGTTGAATCTTGGAATTTTTTTGGTGTTTCTCTGATTAAATAGATAGTTATGTATCTAGAAATGATTTTTGGAAAAAAATAAAGAGCAAACTACAAGGCAGCTATAGTTCAAATTTGACCCACTTCCACCTGAATCGGCGGAAGTTTGTCTTTTTCACCCGAGGTGGATCAAAACTTTTGACACCCAACTATTTGGTCAATTGTGCATTAAACATGGCCTAGTATTTTATAAAATTGATTTGGTCCAATTATGCAATAATTATTTGGTAGGTCCTTTAAAAAACCTCATTTTTGGGCACTAAAAAAATGGAAAATGATTTTTTCGTCCAAAGAAAATGAAAACTTCCATAGGCAACATTGTTTGCTATTCCAAAATGCACCCTTTTACGCAATATGAGATCATTTTTTGAAATTTTCATGTGAAAAAGTAGACAAAAAGAATGCTCAGGGATTCTCTTTTGAAACATAAATTGTCTTTTTGATGAGAGGTGAATCAAAAGCATTTTACATTTTAAGATTTGGTCAACTGTACATAAAATGTTGTCTTATAGTTTTGGAAAATGGTGTGGTGCCATTTTGAAAGAAATATTTGGTAGATTCTTCACAAAAAAAGAATTTTGTCACTCCAAAAATAGAAAATGATTCCCCCCCCCCTAAAAACTCTTTTCTCATAACACTTTTTAAAGATATTTGTCTTATTCCAATTCCAAGTTTGTTAGTTTTCCTAAAAAACTAGGTCACATTTGCTGACACAATGAGAATGTTTTTATTTTTTCGAATTCTCATATCATAAAACTGTTTATATGATTCAACATCTTATTTTTAATTGATTAAGACCAATTTAGATGGTCATAACGTGTACTCGGCTCTGATTGGTCCACGAGCATGTCACGCGGATCGTGCCTTCAGCGCCGTTGGATGCTCCTCTCCAGATCCAGATCCGATGGCAGCCCTTTCTCCCTCACCCCCCTCTTTGTCTGAAAAAAAGGAAACTCCCTCCCGCACGCGAACCCTAGCGTCATCTCCCAACCCTCTCCAGATCCAGATCCGCCACCCCTCTCCCTCTCCCTCGCCGCCTCGCCTCCCCTCTCCCTCTCCCCTCGCCGCCTCGCCTCCCCTCGCCGCTGCACCGCCCATCGCCTCCCGCACCCCCCGCCTGACCTTCTCCCCCTCAGCTCCCCTCCACTTCCCTCCCGTGTCCCCATCCCGTCGAAACCCTAAGCGGCGGCAGCCGCCATGGTGAAGGGACGCACGGGGCAGCTCGTCAGGCTCTACGTCCGGGGCACCATCCTCAGCTTCAAGAGGTGAGCAGCCCCGTTCTTGGCCATGCTCTCGTCGGATCTGGCGATTCATTTCATGGTGAGATTGGGCGGCGCGCTGATGGCGATGTGGGGGTTGATCTGCAGGTCGAAGTCGAACCAGTACGAGAGCACGTTGCTGGTGCAGGTCGAGGGGGTGAACACCAAGGAGGACGTGGCGTGGTACGGTGTCGCCGCGATGGAAGAAGCCTCCTCCGCTCTGCTCTGCTCGCCGGTACGGACTCCCCCCAACCCCTTCCTCCCGCCCTGGCCGGCCGGCCGAGGTTCCGATCGGATCCCCTCTCGCGCTTCGTCTCTGGGCCGGCCGGCTCTCCCTCCTTTGTTTGCATCCCGTCTAGCTAGCCGATTGACCGTTAGCGCCCTGTTGGCTCACGCATGGGGCACGCTAGCCAGCTGATCCTGTCCGACGTGTCTAGTAGTAATAGACGACGACAGGTTCTCTACTTATCAACTCTGTTACTTCTGCATAGTCTTCTTGTAGCATAATACAACTCCTCTAATATCGCATCTGGACAGTGCGCTGCTTATTAAGCGATCTAAAACGTCTTATATTCGTTCACAGAGGGACGACACCCACTACCGCTGCCTCTGGGGCAAGATCACCCGCCCGCACGGCAACTCCGGCGTCGTCCGCGCCTAGTTCAAGTCCAACCTCCCCGCCGAGTCCATGGTCAGTGCCTGCCCGCCCTTAGTTTTCTTGATGGTGCTTTTTTGCTGAGGCTGTTTGTTGCTTTGCGTTGTGTGCAGGGGCGCAAGGTCAGAGTGTTCATGTACCCGAGCAGCATCTAAAGTTAGCATCTGCTGCACTATCGCTGATGATGTTTGTTTAAGGCTGTTGCTTTGCTCTATGTGATTTTACTCTAGCATGTGTGTTGCATTTTGTCCTGCACCTTGAGAATGACTAGGATTTATGATGAAATAGTCGTAATATATAACATGCCTAAAGTATATGTACTTGTGCAGTGTGTCCATTGAGAGTAGAAAGACTATTTCTTTCATGATTCATCTATATATGCTGCTCTTATATGCAAGTTTGTATCTGAATGTCTTATGCATGACAGAAGTTTGTGAAATGCAATGTTTTTCTGTTGTGGTCTGTTTGATGGGGATTGATGCACATGTAGGTCATATCTCTGTGTGTTTGGACCGAGGGAACAACACTAGCTTATTAGCTTACTTTTCATCAAGTACTAGTATTAGTTGAGATGTAGATGGACTGTTTCTTTCATGATTTTATCGATATACAGTTGTTTACATGTTTTTTATCTGGATGTCTTATACATGACAGAAGCTTGTGAATTGAAATGTTTCTTTTGTGGTCTGTCCGATGAGGATCGATGCATGTGTGGATCATATCCTTGTGTGTTTTGGATCTAAGAACTAGCTTATTAGCATACCTTTTTATCAAGTACTACTAATTTAGGTGTAGATGGACTATTTCTTGCATGATTCATCAATATGCAGATATTCTGCTGTTACATGCATGCTTGTATATGGATGTCTATTGGTGTATATGGACTATTTCTTTCAAGATCCATCAATATGCAGTTATATACATGTTTGTATCTGGATGTTTATATTACATCATGAGGTTTTCTACAAATTAGTAAGGTAGTGGTTTCAGCTGCTGCATTATTGCTTATATTTGATACTACACAATGTGACTGGAGTTTATTGTGATTTGCAGAAGATAGAATCTGGATGCAATTGCTTTGATATTCCTGTTTGGCCCCCAGGCATGCTCATGAAGTACAATGAGGTGTCCTCATCTGACTATTTCGCCAATGGGTAAGTCTCACTGCCAATCTTTCAAGTAGTAGTAGTACGGTGTCGCTATCATCTCTATTTGTATATAAGTACGCCACTGTTGAGGTTTAGCAATCTCTGTTATGGTGTTGATCTGAATCATGCTTTTCTGTATGTGGCAGCGAACTGGCTACCCTCGTGTAGTTGAGCAATTAGTATCCATACATGCCCAGTGCATGCCTAAATCCTGAGTTTTATTTTTAAACCTCTCCATATATGTGCAGTGCCTATTGTAATTGTCAAGTGTGAATTCTGTATATGAGGTGTGTTCTCCTTGTAGTAATTTCTAGTAGCCTGCTTGCTATGTGTAGAGTGCACAACACATTACGTGTATTGAGGATGAAATGGTCTGAGTATGGCATTTTCAATTTAACTTACTTTTTTGGTGTTGAGCTATCGATAAATTGGTGTTGGTACCATGATGCTTGAACTGTTATTTTCTTTTGGTAAATGAACTACTACTTTGGTGCATAGATGTATCTTCACGAGTCACAAAACTACTGACATGTAGGCGACTGGAGCGCACCAGAAGCATTGACGGCGACTCAGTCCTCGGTGCCGCCCTCTGCTAGAGCGCTGCATCCCCTCTCTGTTTTCCCAGCCACCCCTAAGTTTTGGATTTGGATCGTTTCTGTGAACTCTAGCCATGCTCACTTGTAAATCTGGTTTGATGTTTAAACCGTGACTTATGATAATCTGGTTGCATCGCCTTCCAGGGACAACATATATATGCTCAATACACTCTACTTGTTTTCCTGTATAGTTTTCTTACTTGTTTTCCTTTATGTGTTCACTCTTTTTCAGGAGCTCCAAGCCTAATTTTTTTTCCTTTATGTTCACTCTTTTACAGGAGCTCCAGTCCTAAGTTTTCTGAGTGTGAAGCCGTGAAGCCAAGTGCGAAGCAGCGAATGCTGGAGAGAGATGATGATGGAGAGATGCCCTTCCTGTAGGTCTGCACATAAGCGGAAGGTCCTGGGTATACAAGATTCGATGGTTAAATTGGTTGATGTGATGTGAATGAGTGTATGGAAACTGGTTGTGTGATGTGAATGAGTGTATGTAGTTTCACGTGTTCTGTTCTGTATAGCATATTGTAATAAACTTATTTTAGCTGTTATTTGAAGATTTTCATATGCTTTCTCTCTTCTGTCTGTTTGATATATACATATATATTGCTTATTAATAAGCTGTGAAAAATCTAACATTTGGGACCCATCTGTAAACTGGAACTGGGAAAAAAAGTTGGAAATAAAAAATAAATTGACGGCAAAATGTTGTGCGCTAGAAAATAAGAAGGCCAAATTGTAAGCCAGGCGCATGTAGCTAACCAAAATTAGCATAAAATACATATATTAGAAGGGCTTGCCTAAAAAAATACATGGGCCGAATTACTAGGTCAGACCCATGTAGCTAATAAAAGCACAGGAAAAATACATTAAAAAGGCCGAATTGTTGGGCTAGTCCCATGTAGAAAATAGAATTGGACCGGGCTGAATCTTGTGCCACATCAGATTGCCACGCTGGATGCCTACATGGCCTGGGGAGGTTGCTAGTGACCAAAACGCCACAGTAGACGTATTTTGGTCATAAACGTCTGCGACCATTCCAGAAGAAAGGTCGCTATAGTCAGTTTACGACCGCCAGCTTTTGACCTTATGTTTTTGGTCACAAAAAGGTCACAAATTGAAAACAGTGACCATTCAGTGACCAATAGTGCTGGTCACAAGTTGACATATTTCTTGTAGTGCGACGATCGAATCTCGGGCAAGTACAATACCGCTGGACAAAGGGAATTGAATATGGGATTGATTGAATCCTCGACATCGTGGTTCATCTGATGAGATCATCGTGGAACATGTGGGAGCCAACATGGGTATCCAGATCCCGCTGTTGGTTATTGGCCAGAGAGTTGTCTCGGTCATGTCTGCATGGTTCCCGAACCCGTAGGGTCTACACACTTAAGGTTCGATGACACTAGGGTTATTAGGAAGACTTGTATGTGATTACCGAATGTTGTTCGGAGTCCCGGATGAGATCCCGGATGTCACGAGGAGTTTCGGAATGGTCCGGAGGTAAAGATTTATATATGGAAAGTTGTTGTTCGGGTTCCGGGAAAAGTTCGGTTTTTTCCGGTATTGTACCAGGAAGCTTCCGGAGGATTCCGGAGGGGTCCGGAGGTCCGGAAAATGTTCCACCACGTCCAATATAGCAGCATGGGCTGTAGGGGGGCGCCCTAACCTTAATGGGCCAAGGGCACCAGCCCCCCCAAGGCCCATGCGCATGGGAGAGGGGAAACCCTAAGGGGGAGGGCCTCCACTTGACTTGGGAGGCACTCCTCCCCCCCTTGGCCGCCGCCCCCAACCCTAGATGGGATCTAAAAGGGGCCGACCCCCCTTTCCTCACCTATAAAGAGTGGAGGGGTGGGAGGGCGGCCACACCTTTGAACCTGGCGCAGCCCCTCCCCTCCAATACCTCCCCTCCTCCGCGTGAGCTTGGCGAAGCCCTGCCGGACAACTGCCACTCCATCACCACCACGATGTCGTGCTGCTGTTGGACTCTCTTCCTCAACCTCTCCTTCCTCCTTGCTGGATCAAGGCGTGGGAGACGTCTCCATTCTGTATGTGTGTTGAACGCGGAGGTGCCGTCCGTTCGGCGCTAGGATCATCGGTGATTTGGATCACGACGAGTACGACTCCATCAACCCCGTTCACTTGAACGCTTCCGCTTAGCGATCTACTAAGGTATGTAGATGCGCTCTCCTTCCCCTCGTTGCTAGATTACTCCATAGATTGATCTTGGTGATGCGTAGAAAATTTTAAATTTCTGCTACGATCCCCAACAGTGGCATCATGAGCTAGGTCTATGCGTAGTTTCTATGCACGAGTAGAACACAAAGCAGTTATGGGCGTCGATATTGTCAATTTACTTGTCGTTACTAGTCTTATCTTGATTCGGCGGCATCGTGGGATGAAGCAGCCCAGACCGACCTTACACGTACGCTTACGTGAGACTGGTTCCACCGACTGACATGCACTAGTTGCATAAGGTGGCTAGCGGGTGTCTGTCTCTCCCACTTTAGTCGGATTGAATTCGATGAAAAGGGTCCTTATGAAGGGTAAATAGAAATTGGCATATCACGTTGTGGTTTTGGCGTAGGTAAGAAACATTCTTGCTAGAAACCTATAGCAGCCACGTAAAAACTTGCAACAACAATTAGAGGATGTCTAACTTGTTTTTGCAGCATGTGCCGTGTGATGTGATATGGCCAAAAGGATGTGATGAATGATATATGTGATGTATGAGATTGATCATGTTCTTGTAATAGGAATCACGACTTGCATGTCGATGAGTATGACAACCGGCAGGAGCCATAGGAGTTGTCTTAATTTATTTATGACCTGCGTGTCAACATAAACGTCATGTAATTACTTTACTTTATTGCTAAAGCGTTAGCCATAGTAGTAGAAGTAATAGATGATGAGACAACTTCAAGAAGACACGATGATGGAGATCATGGTGTCATGCCGGTCACAACGATGATCATGGAGCACCGAAGATGGAGATCAAAAGGAGCAAACTGATATTGGCCATATCATGTCACTATTTGATTGCATGTGATGTTTATAATGTTTTACATCTTATTTGCTTAGAACGACGGTAGCTTAAATAAGATGATCCCTCACTAAAATTTCAAGAAAAAGTGTTCCCCCTAACTGTGCACCGTTGCGAAGGTTTGTTGTTTCGAAGCACCACATGATGATCGGGTGTGATAGATTCTAACGTTCGAATACAACGGGTGTTGACGAGCCTAGCATCTACAGACATGGCCTCGGGACACATGCGAAACACTTAGGTTGACTTGACGAGCCTAGCATGTACAGACATGGCCTCGGAACACGGAAGACCGAAAGGTCGAACATGGGTCGTATAGAAGATACGATCAACATGAGATGTTCACCGTTGATGACTAGTCTGTCTCACGT